ACCGGCAGGTTAGGGAGACGCGGAGTGGCTTTTCTTGCCGTGGAGGACGTGGGCTGCGGGATCACGGCGCCTCTGACCAGTCCCGCCGCCCGCGTCCTCCGCAGCAAGAAAAGCCCCGTTCGTAAGTAGGGATCCGACGTAAGTCGGATCCACATAACCCGGGGACTGCCTGTGTAACTTTTGGGCTTGTGGTCACAACTTTTTGGAGGTGAAGCAATATTGTATTGTCTTAGGCCCTGTCTACGCTGCAAAATTGTCAGCCTAATTTGTTAGCATACATCTCTCGCAGTAATTACATTGCTTGTGCATATCTGTGCTTTGTTCCTTGTTTTGGTGATGTGCTATCTAACCAGGAGCATGTGTACTGTCAGTGTGGGGCATTGTGAAATGGCTTTTGAAAGCCAGAAACAGTTGATATAAGCAATATACTTGTCTACAGTGACATTTTGTCGACCTAACTACATCAGCATTGACCTTGTGGGTCTCATTGAGGTGGAGTTAAGTTGGCATAGCAGGCCAGTTATGTTGGTAGGAGCAAAATTTTTAGTGTAGACACTTTGATAGGCTAGCATAAGCTACCTTGCATTGACTAACTCTAGCGTAGATCAGGATGTCAAGTTAAAGAGCACTGAGCCATCTTCATTAATTTCAGTAAAGAGTAAACTCTGGGGCTTAATGATGGAAAATGTTTTAAATGCAATAATTTCAGATAATTTAGGTGTGCATTTATACGTATAATTTGTGCATTATGGTATTGTATGATGGGTGTTTGCATGTGTAAATTTCAAAGTAAATGGGAGGAATAGTGTTCATCCTCTTGGGCTTTTATTTATTTGCAGAGATCTTTTTAGAAAAAGTATAACTAGTTATAGCCTGTATTTCTGATAGTTTTATAAAGCCATAAGCATTGAATGAAAAATATTACATACTAAACTCGTATTTATCAGAATGCATACTGCTCAGCGTTGTAGAATGATAATCATTGTTCAGATTAACATGTTTCCTGTTTTTCAGACATTATATTTGCAGTACTGTCTTCAGTTAATGCATTAGTTGCAAAATGTCCATTTGCAAATCTAAGTACATTATAACAATGTTCCCATACATGTAATCTTTATGGTTTTTCAACAGTGGAACAACCAGAATTGCATGCAAATTGTTGTAAAGGAAAACTATATTTTGCTTTCATGTATCCGTTACAGATGCACCTTTTGCACAAAAGCATATATTACTGAAAGGGTTATTGAAGTATGAATGCTGAGAACTTAATACACTGTATTGTGAAATTTCAATGTGCTAATACAATGCATAGTTTTTTAAACTGTGATCTTTCAAACCAAGCAAAAGGGATGAATATTTTAAATAACTACTAATTTATGCAATTACATATATATATTAATCATCTCTGTGTATAATTTATTCTGGGTGGATGCATGGATTATATGTGTGTACTTTATATGATGAGTTGCATGACTCTTATTTTTGGAGTGCAGATACCCAATATTGCAACAGCGGGTTTCAACACTTGCAAAGTGTGGCAATAATTACTTGTTGTAATATATTGCTGCACACACCTGTCTCTGGTCTGTTACAAACTTGAGCAAGGAGTTATCATCAAGAAAGCTGGTACCTTTTGTGGGCAGAGAAGAATCTTGTAATAGGAAAGATGTCTTTACTTATTTTGTTTAATGTGTGTTGTTTCTTTTCACAAGTGAGTATCTTCACGCATTTGAGGCAAAATGGGAGATACAGGAAGTAGTGAAAAATGTAGAAGGTGCAGAATCACTGACG